CAGACATATTTCTCAGGGTCACATGAGTCGGTCTAGGTCATCCACCCCACGTGACGTCATAGTGGTGGGGGAAGGCTTAGAACCGGCTCAAATCTCCTACTAATAGTGATGTTTATAAAAATAATCACACCACATTCACCATGAAATAGGTTGGATTCGGAAGAACTTTTTGGAGTTTGTGAGATACTGACTTCACTTCTACTAGCTTCAACAGATTTCGATTGATATTTCTGAGATGACACTTCAGTAGGGAGATATACTGAAAAATTTCGAAATTTAGTATCACAGATTAATTTGAGAAAAATGTTACCTTTTAAAAAATGATCTTCCAACATCTCGGGTTGTGTTCTTGACTCCACATCTGAAAAGATACATTTTAGAGAAACACAATAATAATTATATCAACACCAGGAATCAGGAAATCACTTATTTATGGATGTACAATATAGAGGATTAGCCATCGAAAAGGTCTACCTCTAAATTCTCATTGCTTTTGAGTAAAAATAAATAAACAATATGACGAAGTTGAATCAAAAAATAGGGGAGGACCTCTTCAGTGGATAACCTTGTACCCTTCTGTGAAATGATAATCCACATGTGTTTTCATTCTTTGAGCTATTAACACGATTAGTATGTGACTGAAAATGGGAGAGTAGTTACCTTTCCTATTTTGACTAGCCTTTGGTTGAAAAACTGGCATTTGTTTCACGCAATACATATTGTCTTCAGAATCCGAGTCTGAGAAAGATAAAAGTGTACTTTTCTTCCTGATTCTTTTTTCTTGTTCTAAATCTGAATTTAAATCAGATGTTGTTTCTGCTTCAATCGCTTTATGTCGAGCTGTGGCCAAGTTGTCTGCAAATTCAATGTAAATTATAGAACCTAAAAATATCATTGATGTGTTATACTTGTTTCCTTAAAGAAACGTACTCTTGCTCTTGTGAATGAAGTTATTATTACACAACACAACAAAGTTTTTGTTTCGGGGTTGAAATTAGATGATTTTAATGTATTTCCACGTGTTAAAACCGAAAGTGACCATAAAAATTATATATTAGCTCTTGTTTTCAAGATATAGTATCATTATATTATATATATGTATATTGAGTTTTCAACAAATGAAATATTTCATCACCAACAGTTGGTACACATGTTTGTTTACATAACACCCCTCTCATCAGCTGTTCTTAAGTAGTAAACATAACCTATGTGAGTTTGTCAATTGTACG